GGCTGGATAAGAGATGGCCTACTTAATGAAGTTTCGTGACGAACTTTAAAACAATCTGTCTTTGATCATGTAACATCCTATGCTTACTGCAGGAGCCTGGGAACCTAAATAGCTTAAGATTATTAACATTGTTATAACTTAGATGGTATGTGAGGCATCGTGCATGTCCTATATAAACCCTTTCACAAGAATCAATAAACAGAACTGCTTTGCTTCTTTCTGCATGGTGTTCATGTGTACATGATATCGCGCCACCAACAATGACAGCTACTGTTCACTGAGTGCCTGCTGTGCAGGTCCTGTGTCACACACTTTCCATAGTTTTATCAGCCCAGGAGCTTATAAGGCAGATATTATTATTATTCCATCTTTACAGATGAAGAAACTGAAGCCCACAGGGGTGAAATCACTCTCCCAAGGTCACACAACCAGCTAGCCCAGAGCTAACCTAGGCCTGCTTGGCTTCATCTGTTGCTAAGGTGACCGAGCCACCACGCAGCCAAAAGCCTTTCAGGGCTGCACTCCAGGAAGAGCGAGATGTCTCCCCCAGCTGCCCACTCCCAGTGCTCGCCCCAGGCACTGACCGGAGTGCAGGCCGCAGGATGCCGTTGCCAATGATGAAATGCAGTTTCTCCAGGTTGGAGGTAGGCCGGTCCTCCAGCATGCTATTGCCCTGTACCGTGGACTCCCCGTCATGCAGCCTCTTGGTCACCTGGGCCACAGGGAGGGGACAAGGCTTGACTGGGGCCCTGCCTCATGCCTAGGTCTGCCCACTCCCCTAGAGAGCAGAATCCTGGGAGCAGCCAGAGGGCTGGCTCCTCACCATCGTCATACGGCCGCCCTGTGCAGAACAGGTGCGGGATCAATGCCTGGCCCACACAGCTGGGGAGCACCGCCCCCCACTTCTGGGGATCAGGCTCCTCTGCAGCCTCCATGACATCCACCTCCCGCCCCTACCCCAGGGAAGTTCCCTTAGCCAGAACAGGGATCTCCTCCTCTGACTCTGGTGGGACCTGTGTTTCTCTGGGGTGGGCCACATACCACGCTGACACCCAGAGTACACCTGGGTTCCAAGCACCTGGTCACCATCACCCGTCATTAATGCCCCTGTGCAAACAGCCTCGGACCTGGATTCTTACAAATGCGTTTCTCCTCTCTGGCCCCGCACAGCACCTGCCTGGCACTCGTCCAGAGTAGTGGAGTGAGTGAGAGGGTGGGCGAAGGGAGTGTGCCCCTGCAGACAGGAGGAGCGTGGGAGGTCCTCGTGTCTACTGAGCACCCACAGCCATCATCTCCATCCTTCCAGGAACCCACTAGTGGGCACTTTCCTCCCTGTGTGC